TGTCAACTTAACCATTGCTGTCAACATTCAGCACATTTCTGATGCAGTCTTTTTGCTGTTGACTCTCAGATCTGAGTTGTCAATCAAGTGGCTTGATCTCTTTCCTTTGCATGCTAGGCAAAGTACAGCAGATGACAATGGTAAGATGTCAATTATTGTAGCACTTCTCTCAAGTCACCATGGAAGCTCCTCATAGTCTTTGATGTCAGGACTTTAATCAGCATATGATAAATATTGATTGATTAAAACTTTGATTTAACAAACTGAAATGCAGGAAAGGCTGTCTGTTAATGTAGAAAGTTCCTTAATTTAAAATGTAAACTACAAGAACATGTCTTACCATTTTTTTTAATATGGTCAAGACATCAAATCAAATAACTTTATAAAGAACAAGGATTGGGAAAACTATATAAAATATTTTATATATCAGAACAATACATTATCACTTGTAATAAATGCCACAAAGAAATACATAAGCAAAACCTTAAAGAATTTAAATAACAGACTATATGAACACAAAAAGGATCTTTCACAAAACATTGCATTAGTTAGTTACCATAATGAATTTAGCCATAATTTTGATTTTAAAAAAATGCTACTTTAATTAAAAGAGAAAACAATTTATTAAGATAAAAATGTACAGTGTTTTAATTTGTAGATCATCTACACTAAATTTGTGCCCAGGTTCGTATAACATTTCACCTTATTTGGCTGATCTTCCATTATCACAATGTGGTATACTTAATAACAAAAATGATAAAAACAAAGTAAAAGAAAATAAATTAATTCTGATAGACTAAATACCTAAACAAATTTTAAAAAAATAAAACTTTTAAATTTCAGTGTCCCCTCTCCCTTATAAGCATGTGTAATCACATCAATATAAAATCACTTTGGTCCAATAAAGTCCTAAAGGACAAAATGTACCATGAAAAATATTTTCTACTTTGTCATAGATTTTTCTAAAATAGATAATGTTTGTAAATATAATCAAAAATAAAATATAATAACAAAATAAATTATATTATTCATTAAAAGTAACTGTTTATTTTTCTGCTATTGCAATTCTTTTCTTTTTCATAAACATTTTCTAGTCATTCACATTACACTGCAGGGTGAAGAATCATGCAATTTTAAAAAGAAGCATGTGGATAATAACAGATAACTGTATAGTGAGTTGTAAAAGTATTCACACCCTAAGCAAAAATATAAATAATAGAATCAAATACACATGATCTGCTATAGTTTTTAGAATAGGAAATTGTACACTTTTAACTGGATATTACTAAATAATGTTGCTAAACATTCTTAACTTTAAACACTTTGCCAAAATTATTAAACCTATGTTGTATCTCTTCCTCTCATCCTGAGGAGTTTTGTGTGTGTGTGTGTGTGTGTGTGTATATAAAGTATTTTGGACAGTTCCAAATATATAGAAAATCTGGAGGAAAAAGCTTGGGAATAATTCCTCATTTCAACAGGACACTAATCCAAAGCATGTGTTGAGCAAATCAAGAATGGTTTCAGGAGAGAGGAAAAATTTTACACTGACCAAGGCAGTCTGGGTTTGAATCCTACAGAAAAGCACTGAAGGGATCTGAACATTGCTTTGAAGGTCACCAAAAAAAACCTAACTCAGCAGGTGTCACTTTGAAAATAAAAGTATATTTTTCATGTAGTATGTACATTTTTGAAACCCACTGTATCTAAAATCAAATCTCCCTTGGTTAGTCTAATAGTTTCCACACAGTAACTGTTAGTCTTGATCTCAGAAAATTTAATAAATTTTTTGTCTTTTCTTTTTGGTAGATTAAAATATAGATATCCATTAATTAATAAAATTGAGTTATTATAGGGATCATAAGGGAAATGCAAGGCTTCTTTACAGGGGTTTGCTCACAGGCCACTTCCAAGTGGTACTTTTGTCATTTTCTGTGCTTTCATTTAAAAACTATGCATAAAATGATGTCATATTTAATTTTGCAATTTAGTTACTTATATTTTCTGTATGAGTAATCTACTTTATTTTTTATCTATACAATTATTAAGTAAAAATATCCAAAGGAAACAAGACAAACAAAATAAAAAGCAATGGATTATCAGCCTGTTCTTGTTGATTCATTTATTGGAGCCTGTTTTTGCCATAACAATATAATATTTTATTACTAAGTAAGAGTCATCCTGGGTATGACGATAAACTGAATCTACGGCCTTGGTAAGATGATAAACTATGTCCAACAGCAAGGCCTCTGATCAGGAGGTTTTGAGGAGCATGGAATCACCTCTTAATTGTTGGCGTTCCCAGATCCACCCTGACCTAGGGTAGTAGCACCTGTTAGGGTCTCAGCTATGGGTAAATAGTTAATTCCCAGACTGGAGTCAAAACGCTATGAAAATGTAAAAATAGGTTTTAATGCCAGCAATGTGTTTTTTGCAAAAAAATTGCCAGCAAGAAATTTTTGAAGAAAAAAATTATTACCAACAATACATTTTTGGAAAAAAAAATGTTACCAGTAATACATTTTTGAAAAATATATTACCAGAAATAGATTTTTTGAAGAAAAAAAAACTACCAGAAATACATTTTTGAGGGGAAAAAAAAATTACCAGCAGTAAAAATTTTGTCTGCATTAAATAACCCATTGAGGTTGATATGCTGTCAAACAAACCAAACCAAGCTAAATAAGGGAGATCAGACTGAATGACTGATAAATATATAAAGTCACCTTGTGTTTTATATTATAAAAAAATGTTTATAGTTATATTGGTGCTGCTTTAGCGTGTGTCCTACCGATCAGTTTCTGCTTTAGCATGTATCCTACCGATCAGTTTTAGTGTATATCCTTTCCCTAAATTAGAAAAGCCTGCTTGTATTGAAAATTTGCATTTAATTTAATTGGCATAATTTGGCTGTTTAGCAGATCACAACTATCTTAGGCATGAAGTATGTAAATAATTTAGTGTATTTGTCTTCAGTCTGTGGCATTTGTAAAAAAACATTTATTAATTTAAACCAACTTTTTAATTGTTTTTGTCGTAGTAATTGCTATTATTAGGTCAGTTTAATAATAGTAGTAATAACAAAACCTGCTATTTGTACACAGCCAAGAAATTTAATTTGGATTTATTTTCAATTGCAACCTTAGTAACTGCCTCAAAATTGAGTCTCTTTTAAGAATATCAACATTTATTCTTTATGTAATGATAATGATTATAAAACATTAAGATTTCAGTTTCTCATTACCAACAAATTACTCCGCTGTAATAAATAATGTCAAGTATTATTAAATTTTGACTGCATTTCTTTCATTTTAATTTCAATTGCTTTCTATTATGTCTACTCAGACCAAGGTTCTAAGGTTGTTAGTTTGTAGCATGAATTGAAAATAAACAATAAGTTTTTCTAATCTGCACTTCCTACTAACAACTGTTGACATTAATGGTCTGAGTAGTTATAATAAAAAAACAATTGAAATTAAAATAAAATTAATAACAGACCATGCTTTCATCTAATAATAATAATAATATTAATTCAAGATAATGTTACTAATGCCAAGTAATTTATATTTTAGCTATTTGGACATTAATAATTTATATTAATATTCACATTTGTTTATAAACACATAATGACTCAACTCAAAAATCAAAAACAAAATTATCAAAAGCAGTATGAACTTGCTGTGATAACCAAATGTCAAAACCATCAAGCATACACCAAAATTACACCACATTTTGGATCCTATTTTAGTGTATATAGGTGTTGGTTAATCTAGTGTTGCTGTAATCTAGTGGTCATGGGTTCAATTCCTGGATCAGGTAGTGAAATTCATAAATTCTGGTTTAGTAGGAATGAATAGGAAAAAGCATCACAAAAACAAAAGAGACATAATAATCAGCAAATATAAGATATTTCCTATCAACTAAATGAATAATGAACACCTGAAAATGGCCAGAGGCTACTTTGCCAAAATGTTATGTCAATAATAACATCTATAATGACTAAAGATGAGACAATAGTTCAAATGAATTGAACAAGTCAGTGTCTATTGAAAAAGATATAAGGTTTTACTTTTTCTAAAAGTTACAATTGAAATCTATAAAATGATTATTTAATAAAATGATCACAATGGAGCAAATCTCTCTATCAGGATTGGACTCTGAAACTAATAAAGGAGGACAGGTAATAGGGTAGCTATATAAATTGTTATGGTTGACTAGGGGGGTAACAGCTTTGTGCTGCTGCTACCTGGGCTGGTAAAGTTGTTATGGAAGCTTAGCTTGTTCAAGTGCTAATTTATCTCGATTACTCTAGGGCACCTCGGTGTGGTGTAATGGTTAGAAAGTGTGACTCGCAAAAACAATTATGACTGAGTAGTGAGTTCGATACTCACAAGATGCCCCATACTTTCGGCCTTGTGCCACATCTAAGCTATGCTTAGAAAATCACTTTATCTCAATCACTCTTCTCCATCAGCCATCATATTTTTTGAAACTGCACACAGGGAAAAGTGGGTTCATCATTCTTTTCTGAAAGAATTTAATGCTAAGTGACTATACCTACTTTTGAAATTCAAACTTGTTTTGTTGATTGAATATTCCATGCTGATAGCTATTTAGATTAATTTTATTTACATATTTAAAATATGCATGAACTACAAAGGAAAAAGAAAATGTTGAGTGTATCAAAATTTTCAAAACATATTTTTGTTATTTGAAGTTAATCAAATGATCTGTTTAAATATGTATGTTAAATTGTAAATGTGTTCAATATACCTGATCTGAAGTTAAATGTATTGTTAATTGATTTCAGTTGGTTAATTGGCTTTGTTAAATGCATTTTCAGTTTTGTAAGAAAAAAAGAAGTATAATGTAATTTTTTTAAGACATTATTAAAACAGAAAAAAATAATAATCAATATGATTATGTAATTATTTCCAACCAAAAATATTATCTGAAATTATAGATTTATCTTTCAATATATTTGTTTATAATCTTGACAGACGTCACTTCTAGAAACATTTCCAGAGGAAGGAGGCCAGCTAAACCCTGATGAGAGAACAATACCTTTCTTGCCAGGTAAGCAATTAGAAATTGGTTTTGATTTTAAGCATATTTCTTGAATACATATTTTACCCTCCAAAATTATAGCTAGTAAAGCAAAATCAACTAAGTATTGTTGACTTCTGTAGTATATGAAAACGTGTATCTATTTGACAGTTCCATCCTCTTAAAAAGTGAATTTTTTTCTTCTTTGTGTGCATCTGATCATCATCATAAGAACATAAACCTGTACAACGGTGGAGTAGTGGATTGAGGAATCTGAGAGCTGAGTTCAAATTGCAGTTGATTCCATCACATTCACTTAAATGCTAATACCCTTGGGAAAGGTATGAATCCTCTTCTCCCCACCAGCTATGGGTAAATAGCAGGACAGACTGGGTTCTATATTCTTGGATGGCAACTGGTCTACCACAGAAAGAAATGGCAACCTATAAAAATCTGCCTCGTCAGTCATGTATCGAAAGATACATGATCGTCTAAGTGTGTATCACACATGGCATATAACTGATTGACTGACATCTTCTTCATCTTGTTGGAGGGCAAAGAGGCCCAGAGTTGCATGCATTTTTTTTTTTTTTTTTTTTTTGCAACATCAAAATTAAAAGAAAATGGCTTACCTCCAGAGTAAACACAGATTCAAACATGTCATGCATGTTAACTGTCCAAAAAGTGGGGGGGGGATGGCAGTTTCACATTCAAAACAGATAGATCCCAGAATCAAATACTCTCTTGTGAGAGTATTTTTTCACATATGTAAACTTTAGCTGTCAATGAGGAGATAAAAATGAGTGTGAGATGACAGACAGTAACACTAGTGAGCAGATCTGTATGCCGCCTTTAGAGATATTGGAAGGTGAAGGGTCAAGAGACCGAGCAAAATACAGTGTCTTCTTCACATCCGGGTGCCCACTTTGTTGGTGGGTGTTAGCAACCTGGCTCTTGCTCAACTTTCTAGTGCAGATTTGACCGGCTTCACATTCATTGTTTAGGCATACTCGGCAACCAGTGCGTGAAGTGTTTCCAACCGCTGTCTTATCAACATCTCACTGGCTGCCTTCATTTTTACACATGCCTTCCCAGTCAGGGTGTCTGGTATCCGGCAATGAACACACACAGTGTCGGTAACCAGGTGCAAGATCACTTTGCTATACCTGATCAAAAAGAAGATAATGAGAGTTTAAAAAGAAAAATCAAGATGAAATGAAGTGTAAATGTTGAAAAAGAATGAGATTTCAAATTGTTGATCCAGTGAAGCCTAGGATTATAAATAATTGAGTTATAAATAATTAATTATAGCTAATATTGCACTCTGTGTGTGATTGAAAGGAAATAGTTGAGTGAGGTTCATGCAACTAGTAACTTTATTATTCCTGTAAATTATCATTCTGAAATTCAACTTGGAAAGCTATTAAACATATTGTCAATGCAGCTTGTTGCGACTCGTGGGAACATGTTAGTTAGGAGAATCAAAGTTTACATGTCTGTTAAACTGAAAATTCTTTTAAGTAAAGAATTCACAAGAAACATATCACTTCATGTTCTCATTCCCTTCTGCATCTGTCTTAGAAACAAAGACAATTTAAAATTTATAGTGAAGAAAATATTTGCTTTTAATTGCAAAGCATTTTAAGGACATTTTTAAGACAATAAAATTTTTTAAGTTTTAAAATATTTTTTTTTTTCTTTTTTTTCTTTACTATTTTTTTTAAAACCTCACACAGGATATTATTACATGTGAGACATATCACTATTTTAATTTTTTTATTTTATATATATATTCCTCTTTATATCTTTTTTTTTTTTTTTTTGTTTAATTAATACAATAAAGTTTTTGGGAAATCACAAAATTTTTAGTTTCTCCTGCAGTGTTTGATATTGAATAGTGTTTTTTGGTTATGGCACCTGATAAAGATTTTTATGGTCTCTTCTCCATCCTTTTGTGTGTACACGTGTGTGTATGTGTATGTATATATATATATATAGTTAGTTAGGAGAATCAAAGTTTTTATATATATATATATATATATATATATATAAAAAGGATGAAAGCTGACCAGAGCACAGTTTCGACCTCTCTGGTCTTAGGTGGTTTGTTCAGCAACTACAAGGAGCTCAACAACTTAAGCACTTTTGAAAATGGAAGTAGTGTGGGAGGGAATTTTTTTAACTTTAATAGGGATCAAATAACCCCAAGCTGAACTTCTTAAAATGTCTGCATTCGGTCATGATCTCTGACCTCCCTATAGCAACATATAAAAACAGCAATGAATTGCTGAACAAGAGGTCAGAGATCATGACCAAATATAGACATTTAGGGTTATTTGAACCTGGTTAAAGTTTTTTTTTAAAAATCCCCCCCCACTACTTCAGGTTTTGAATGTGCTTAAGAATTTATATGATGCAAGCTTGTAGCAGTTTCTTGAAGTTTTGCTTTTTGTGGGTGGAAGTGATGGATGCTTATAGATATTTTTTTATTATGATCTTATTGTACCCCTGATAAGTACATTGTTGAAAAGATTTTCAGCATGCTAATATGCCACTTTTTTTTCTTTTCTTTTTTTTTTGGCTTGTTGATTTTGAGGATTTGGATGAAATCATATTTGGAGTTTGTATTTTTGAAGGTACTTATGTTTGATGATTTGATCATTATGGAGATATGTTAAACCAAAAACATCAACCTGAAAACTTGAGTCGTGCTTGTAAATAGCATCATCAGATTGAGACTTTCATATGGATGTAACGCATGGCACAAAACTGGTTCAGAAATATTTAAACTGTTGACTGTATACAGCTGCTTACTAGGATCAATAGTGAAAAATGTTTTGAACACATTAAACCTGAGAGTCTTGACAAAGATCATCCTTCTTTGAACATTGTGGATTGATGCTATAGGACTCAAAGACTTATAATCAAATAACAGAAACCACATCACTTGAGGACTATCAATAGCAGCAACAATAAAAATGAATAGCACATGTAACTTGAATAAAAATGACATAATCAAGATATTAACATTCTATATTACTTCAAATAAAAAATCAGGAAGGAAACCCCCATCAATACTGGAAAGCAATAACAGCTAGTGAACTTGAAAAATTGCTTTAAGAGAGAGATTTTATAAATTTCAACTGAAAGCAGTAGTGGCTGCTTGGTTAATAAATGCTAAAAAACATTTTAATTGTTTCCTTGTAGAGAAACGGTTAATATTACAATTACCATTATAGAGGTGTTGAAATTTGTGAGATTATTGGTCTTAATGGTTTGTGGGGATTTCTATGTAGTTTTTTAAAATTTTGTTTTCTCTTTTAAGATGGCTGTAAGTTTTTGATTTGTAAGTACTGATTTTTGTTTAGTATGATGTAGATTTATTTTTGTCATCAAAATATAGAAAAAATAACAAATAAATTCTAAACAGAAGTTTCATTTGTCTTTAGTCATACATATATAAATGGAAAATTGCTGGCCAAATACACATACACACATGCACAAGGATAGATAAGTAATTCTGTAACCTTATACTTTAAATAGCTGAATTCTGATGTAGTTTCACTTGATATTTCAGCTATGTGATTAATAGAAAAATAATAGCCTTGACATTGACAAGGAACAAGATTGTATTGAAATATATGTATAAAATAAATGCATTTTTATCTTTAGGCTACAAACTTATTTATATACATATAAGTATATAATAATCCAAAAAGTAGAAATAATTTATAATCTTACACTTGTCATAAACTTGTTGGCTCTTCCAATCTTTACTTACCTAATAATGATTTTCTTATATGTGCAATAAACGAAGGCTTACTCAAGTTTGTGTTGAGTAGTACTTACCGTGTTCAATTTAGGCTACTGATAAATAAATTATATGTAAAATATGTGAGTATAAACTAATAAATGTATAAAAATTATCAATTTTTATATCTAGAACAATAATGAAACAAGATAAATTGTTTTGAAGTAGTGAGTGGTAACATGCACAAAAAGGAATTCATGAATAAAGAAAAATGTAAAAAATTGTGGCAATTTTGTCAGCAGGAATGCATGCATTGCCAATTTTCCAGAAAATTTTGTTTGTGTTAGAAAAATAATGCTGTTTATTCTGTTTTGTTTAGAGCACATTGGATGGTTAATGACTTGAAAAGTGTGCCAAGTTCATTCTGAGTTTTGTTCACTTTGCACTGATGCCCTTAGAAAAGGCATGAATCCATCTTCCTCCAGCTATGCATTAAATAGCAGGGCAGAATAGGCTCTCTTGCCTTGAGTGGCAGCCAGTCTAGAAGGTAAATTCTTCTGATAAACCAGGATCGACAGGACATTAGCCTTGAATGGCTAAACCCATCATCTAGAGGAGTAAACCTATATTACAAGAGGAATACTCGGTTCTTGTTAGTATCAGCTATTGAAAGAGAAAAATAAGTCTTTGTTATTATGTCTTAGGAGAGAACTAGACTGTTTTTTTAAGAGTACAACACTATTTTCTGTTGGTTAGTTTTTGAAGATATTTCATAAATCCTTTTTCATGAACAAATGAGAAAAAAATTGTAACAATTACTTTGTTGTATCAAAAACAAAAAGTGTTTAAATTTTTTTGGTTACACAAATTTTTTTGTCCAATCTGTTTCTTGATTGAACATAAAATTATAATCAAAATAACAATCTTAATTAAGTAAAAAAAAAAAAAAAAAATTAGAGGGAAAAATAGAGAGAACATGTGGGGGAAGGCAAGAAAGAACATGAGTAAGCGGAGGGAGAGTAGAAAGAAAATAAATGAATAAATCAAGAGTAAAATAAGGTAAAAAAAAAAAAAAGTCTGTTTTCTCTTTTTATCTCCAAATATTAAAATCTGTATTTACCATTTATTCTTTGCAGGCAAGAAATATTTTGGCCGAAGTCACATACGAGAAGTGGCAGAAAAACGTCTTGGACCTATTGACAAATACTGTAAAGTAAGTGAAATTGTAGTCTTCAAAAAAAATATTTATTTATTAATTTATAGAGGAAGTGGGTTCAATATCAGAGAAAGATTATTGATAGTCATAAGATTCAAACCTGCATGTTTAATTGTCAGTTTCATACATCAATGCCATTTCCAGACCACAGTTGAAGTGTGAAACTGACAGTCATTATGCAGTGTTGATTCCTATATCCATACTCTCTCTCTCTCATATATATATTTATTTATATATATATATATATATATATATATATATATGTTTAATTAAAAAAGAGACACCCTTAAAGGTCCATTGATTAAATTTTATTTTTACAGGAAAGTGATTTTTCCTGGTTCCTCATATCACATAAAAGAAAATGGTTTAAAAATCTACATAATATTTTACAAGTTTTTGAGGGGTGATTTTAAGTTGATCTAAGGTGATAGAGAGAGGGGGAGGAGAACAACGATAGATATGATCGAAATTAGAGAGGGAAAGGAGAGATAGGAATATGTTTAAATCTATATTAAGATACATAAGAGTAAGTGTAGGGTGCCAGACATTTGATCTATTTAAGTCCGTTCACAGGAAAAGGAAAAGAAAAAAGACAAAGAGATAATATATAAAAGAAAAGAAATGGAGAATATGATCTGAGGAACCAGGAAAAAATTTCTTTCCTGGGGAAATAAAATATAATCAATGGACCCTTAAGGTTGTCTGTTTTGTAATTAAACTAATATTCGCTCTGTTTTTACATTGAGCTCTCTGGATTACATCCTCCTTGGGATTATCTATATGGATTACCAAACATTTCATTACCTAACTTATATATATAAACTAATGAACATTTTCACCAGATCTTTAAACCCTTATTTATGAAATCAATTTGTTTCTCTTGTTTTATGTTAGATCATTGTTTCATTTTATTATTAGATTATTCTCTGTCACTTTCAAGAAATGCTCTTTTCATCAGTGAAGCGCTGCAGAAGAAAGATGATAATATCAATTTGTTTCTCTCGTTTTATGTTAGATCATTGTTTCATTTTATTATTAGATTATTCTCTGATTGTCACTTCCAAGAAATGCTCTTTTCATCAGTGAAGCGCTGCAGAAGAAAGATGATAATATCAATTTGTTTAAGCCTGAAATGTCAAGTTTGACCTTCTAAACAAATAGGTTCTTATACTGTAAAGAAATGAAATTTAATAAATATTAATTCTTCGTTGAATACAAAAGGTGCATGAAGAAGGCTAGAGGCTACAACAGCTACAAACAAAACAACCAAGAGGAGGACACCTCATTTGAAATTCAGACAGAAAAAAAATACGTTACAGTTAACATCACTCTGATTATTTGAAAGGACAGTACATACATTCTTCACCCCCCCCCCTACAATGAAAACTATTGTATTTTTCATTCCTGCCTATATTTATAATGTCAATGCATTGATTAGTGTTTGTTTCCATTGATGTTTTTAACTTACTTAATAGAAGGATTCAGTTTTCTTAAAAATGTTTTTCTGTTGAGATATGCAACAAGACTGGATTTCTTAGGTTAACTGCTCAAACATTCATATGGAGGTGAGTCTTTGTCAATAGATTGCTTTGTATTCTTAGCAGTAGTGCCTATATTATGTTTGATTTTCACAGTGACTCAGAGGATTATTGCATGACATTTAAAATATATATTTAGAGTTTTGTTGAAATGTTTTCTGTGGCAACTCTCCTTTATCTTCCCCTTAGTTTAGCCTTAATGTATATATAAACACTGTCAGATTTTATTATGCAAGTCATTGTTTTCACAATAAAATTGATATTTGTTGGTAATATTTTCAGGAACAGTCTGCAACTTTCAGGCCATGTAGGTTGGATTATAGCTTGACTTTTTATATATGTTAGTCACTGGGACATTATAACCTGAAGATTGTGTTCAAGCATGGAACGTACTGTCATCAGTTGGTGTTGGCATCAGTGTCTACTTATATTTGCACACACTCTATCCCAGATATTGAGCACTTTTACCCTATAAATATTGTATAGTTTAACACTATATTTTATCTATATATATATATATATATTAGCTTAAAAGCTGCCCTATCAGGCATTATTTAAACTAGCTCCTGTGGAGGGTTCTTCATTGAGCCTTCATCACAATAGTTAGGGAGGAGTAGATGTGATAGACAACAATAAACTACAGAAGAACTCAAAATTGATCACTGCATTTAAGTATTGCATTAATATTTACCTTTTAAAAGTTCAATGATAATTCTTTTGCCGCCACTTAATTTAAAGACAATTTGATGTATATAGGTCCTTACTTTTCGTACAAACGATTATTTTTATTTCATGGGTGACTTTCACTGGATTTTGCAATTGATTTTGATTATTCCCAAATTTATTTCCAAGTTATAAAAATTGTTATCATACAAAAAAATTTGTCCCCAAAATTCACGTGAAAAATCTCTGAAAACAATCGCAATAATGGAAACTTGGGAATCAAAGATTTCAGGATTGTGGATCCGGATCCAGCCCAGAATGTTTTTAATTTTCTCATGGAGTCAGCCTGATTCCAAAATGGTATGATATGTTGGGCTACAGCCTCTAGGAGTTAAGTTGAAAACTGTGACACAGTGACATACTGGCATTTGCATTTATAATGTGTGTATATATATATATATATATATATATATATATATATATATATATATATATATATATATGAACAATATATTGTGAATTTCAATTGATAATATCTATCCTTATAAAAATATTGTTAACTTGTCTTAGAGGTGTTTGCATATTCAAAATGAATGCGTCAGAAATTTTTATTTATAAAAAAAAAAGAAGATATATGCAATAGAAACATATATTTGATTAGCACAACATCCTATACAACTGAATAAATTATTTTATTTTCTTACATGTTAATATGGGCTCCTTGGCATCCTATAACATTCACCATTCTTTCATCTATTCATTTTTTTCACTTTCTAATGTTTCAGCTTTAATATTATTTGCAGCAGTTTTTTTTTATTGTTTTCTCAGAGTTAGTGATTGAATTTTGTTTTCCATTTTCAAATACACAACTTTTATTGATGGGTTATAAACTATTGGATTAACATCGAGTCTAGAGATTATACTATTAATTTGATGTCTTTGAAAGCTTTTTTTGCCAAAGTGGACAATACTGAAGCTTTGAAATTATAATAATCTTCAAGACTGGATAGTTTCAATTTTAATTATAAATTTAGGCTTTTCATGTATAGTAAAGTGTCATAATGACCCAAGGCCCTTTTAGCTTCAGGTCTGTGACACACACACAATAATGATTTTCCTGGCTAAACCAGGACATATTTACCAAATATCGATGCAACAGTTAACAGAATGTGAAGGAACATTGCATGAATACACATTTGTGTTTAAAGATTCTTGGTTGTGAACTGTATTACATTATTCAAACAAATGTTTTGTCCATAAAACTTATAATAATTCTCTTAATTTATCTTAGCAACATCAAGTTTGGAAGAAATAATAATTTTTCTTCAAGTCCAAAACATTAGTCCAACTTTCCCACTGTTATTGGTCAGCTATTTCCATGAAGTAACCATCCTCTAGACGATCCATTATGTCCATCCAATGTAGCTCTACATTCATCACTAAAAATTACTATTGAGAAACCAGTTTTCATTTATTAATTTGCCTAGTTTACATATTTCCCTTTGTGATATTTATTTAAATGTAGTAATTGATTGCTTTCATATATTTGACTAATGTTCCTAATATTCTACATCTTTTCTCTTTACATTTGCAACACCTGCTTCTTCTTTTTCTTGCTGGTCAATACACTTTTCTTGCTTATTGCACTTTCAATGTTTACAAAGTAACATGTTTGGTAACATTTTGAAAGCCAGTTTTTATCTTGCTCATGTCCTCAATTTTGATTGTTCTCTGATCTCTGTCAATTTTATTTTGCAACTTCCAACATTATTTTGTGATCTCTCAATAATTTTATAATATCTTGTTTCTCTTTTAAGGGTATATCTTTCTTATGACCCATGGCAATCTTTATATATCTGAAATTAAGTAAATATCAATCTTATAACTATTATAGATATTTATTTATAACATGATGAACAATCCTTGAATACCATGCCAGCAAAGTAAATTATTGCAAATAATCCTAATAAAAACAGATATTATAAGCTGTAATTCATTTATTATATTTATCATATAAATAATTATATCCTGAAAATTTTCCAAAATTGGTTGGTTAATACCAATTTTATTGTGAAAACATTAACTTTCGTAATAAAATCTGATATTTAAAAAAGAGTTAAAAAGATAGAACTTAAGTTATTTAAAAAAGATGTACCAGGTGCGATGGATAAAGTGTCATCGAAATTATGCAAAAAATGAAAATAACACTGACATCTCATTTTAACAGATATATTTACCAAAATTAAACAAAAATATCTTGAAATAATAAAGAGTAAATTTATTCAATAAAATGGCCATTGGCTTCAACCATGGCCTCCAGACAACTTTGGAATCTCCTGCAACTCTCCTGGATGGTCTCGTTGTTTAAGTTGGTGAATGCTGCCATAATTCTTGCCTTCAGTTCATCCTTGGTATTACAAGGAGTTTTGTTGGTCTCTCCCTCAAATGCGCCCCACACATAATAATCAAGGGGGTTGTTGCAGTCTGAGGACTTAGGTGACCAAATATAAGAGGTGATGTGGTCACAGAAATTGTATGACTGGATTCTCCTGCTTGTATAACTAGGTTCTCCTACAGAATTCTGTTGCCTAACATAGGGTTTTCCAGCAGCCACCCTCTTGACCCAGGGCAGTATTACCTTCTCATGGCAATTGATGTAAGCCTCTGTGTTGAGTCCAAGACACTGGAAAGATGAATGGCGGCATAATGTAGCCATCACTAGTGATCGCTCCAATCACTTTGTAATCACTATTACATTCATCCAACTCTTTCTGAATCCTCTACACTGTCCTTAGA